AGAAGAACAAGCTCATAGTTTAAAATTTAAACAACTAGACAATAATTAGATTACAAGTTTACAACTAGAAGTGTAGATAACTAGAAACCAATAATAGTTTCGATCCTCTACATTAGTAATTGTGACAATCCCATTTTTAAAAGGTTTATGTCTCAGGTTTTTTTTTTTTAACCAAAATAGTAAGTAAAAAGTACTGTGTAAACTGTAAAAATCTAATCAATAATCTAACCAAGTTTAGTACATGGCACTAATATAAATTACGATAAAGTGAGTACTTGGTGAAATAAAGGCTCAATGATGAGGCACTTATGAAGTAAAGATTCTACAAAACTGATCCTATATTCTTTTTTTTTTTTTGTCTTTTTTTTTTTTTTTTTTTTTTTGTCTAGAAATGTAGGTGGGTCATAATGTTATGGCTTATATTGTGTGAATTTACTTGCCCACAGTTCCACAAAGTCAATTTACTTGTTTCTATTGTTGGCTTCAAGTAAGTTTCTTTACATTGTCACTCTTTTTCATTTGTTTTGGTTGATAAAATGGTTATTTTGAATTTGAAATCCTCTTTATACTCAAAAGCGATAATAACTTTATAAAAAACAATGATGTGAAGTTTCATATTCAATATCATTTGAGCTCATGGTTTTTTCTTCTAAATCAATTCTTGCCTAAATTCTTTATATATAATGTATAGTTTTTTTTGGGAAAAAGTTTGTATATATACCGGTTAAAAATAAGAAATACTCTTATTCAATTATTATTTTCCCTTTAAAATATTTTCTAAATAAATGCATGTCAAAAAATATCAATAACATATTTAATTTGGACCTTTAAGTCACAAACACTAGTACATAATTGGCATTATGTAACATGTAATTGGTAACACTTCTTGAAATGCAAAATATTAGATTTATAGGTAACACTTTGGTAACACTTTATTAGAATGTAACACTCAATGTAACACTTTTAACATAAGTAACCCTCCAAAGTAACACTTTTAAAATAAGTAACATTTTATGGTAACACTAAGAGGTGTTACATTATTTTAAGTTGAATTAAACATTTATAAAAAAATAAAAGTCAGTATTAATCCTCAAATTTAATTACCAATTTATTAAAAAAGTTTAGGATTACCGCCAAAGCAATTAAAAAAAAAAAATGGGCCTCAATTAGCTTAAACCGCCAGAAAAATTAAGAAAAAAAAAAAAAAACCAATCACTCAATTCAAGTTTATTTTCCTCAATCAGCAACGACAATCTTACGTTATCACAAAAAACCCAATCTCTCAATTATTCAAGTTCAATTCGCGCGAATTTCATCACAACATCAGTCGTCGACTCGATCGTCATCTGGGGTTCCATCAATTCGCGCTTCCAATCAGGTATCTTGTTATTTTTTTGGTGGATTTTTGATGTTTTTGGTTATGTAATCATTAATATTCATGTGAATTATCACAATCTAGTTTATAGGGTTTGTTTTTTATTGGATTCTATATTATTTCAATTGAAATCTGCACCTGTTGTTATTCACGATTTCATGCAATTTTTTTTTTTTTTTTGTATATTAATGGATTTTCTTATTTAAACGATGTTATATACTTCGTATTATTGATCTTAGGTTTTACTAATTTTCCTAAAAATCATCAATTCTTAAAGAATGACGTGAAGTTGTGAATTTAACACAATTAGTTGATTCAATTCCTAAATCTAAATATATGAACTGGATGAATTGGCATTCTAGATGCTACTTTATATTAAACCTGGTATCTTGTTAATATGACTTGTATGAGAGAAAAACAAGACAATTATTGTGGACTTTGTTTAGTTTAAGATATAGCTTTGTTTGTTGTCAACCTAGCTCATTGATTGACTTTTGGTCATGTAATGACTATTGAGTACTTTTCCTTAAGAAGCTTGTCAATGATAAACTCGGTCTAGCAGATAGTTGATAAACTCGGTATAGCAGTGGTTTTGTAATGAAAAGTTGATTGAGTTTGTTAAGTTGTCTTGGACTCTCTATAGTATTCTCAACTTGAAGATTGGCAATAAAAATTCGGCAAACTAATTTATTTAGCATGATAGTTGATTATTCTAGTTAATTTAATTGATCCTACTTAGAACCATAATAATTTAAGTGGTTTATTGAGTGGAGGAAATTAGCAGTTTCCTTAATTTGAATGTTACTCAAAAAGGTTGAGGAAATTAACATGACATTATTCCAATACTACGTATCAAATTACTCCCTTCGGAAATCAAGATATTATCAATAGTAGTTATTCATCTGTTGCTTTATTGGCTACATTATTGCTACATTATCATTGATTGTGTTCTCTTTTGTTCTTTTAGAACACATCTCCAACTCTTAGTTGGTCAATGCCTCATTTAATTTTCTAGATAATAAATGAACGATTGTTTCTCAATTTTGACACAAGAAATTTTCTTAGCAGCAGGTTGCTAGGTCCCTATTACTTACAGTTAAAGATCACACTCCTTCATACAATAAATTAGTTAATCTGGCCTGAAATTTGATATTGGGTGAGAAGCCCATTCTTGTTGTTTCCAAAGTCCCAACAGTACCTCCCAAGCCTAGTAAATATCTTGCTTGTATAGGAAAGCTTATGTCATGCTATCCTACTCTTTCTGTTATGTCATGCTTTATGTTCAAAGAACAGCAAACACATCATGTCTTATGTCTTCCTTAGTCCCTTGTACTCTTTCATCAAACTTCAAATCGGGCAGAATCTAATCCCAAACATCTAGCACTAGCACGGTTCTTTCATGTTCCATGTTAATCAATAATGTTTATGAGTATATTTCAATTCTCACCTCTTTTTCTCCTTGGAGTCTTCATTTTACCATAAAAAAATCATGTGGTGTTAAATTTGCAGACTGTTTTATTAGTTTCTTAATTGCAGCCTGGAGTAAAATCTGCTAAATAGTCCACAAATTATTTCATACATTGATGTGAATATCTAACAAGGTCATGAATAGTGAAATAACGAGCTTTATATTTATTAGTTGTCATAAGTCAGTGGTTAAATTTAGTGTCGTGCTACAGAATTTACTCTTAACCTTTATTTAATTGTTAAATTTATTTGAGGTCTGATATTATAGTGATAGTGTTTACATTTGGCGGTTTTGAGCTGTGTGGTATCTTTGTGCTCGGACAGTAGGTGAGTTGTGTCGGCTTCACTGAGGTAGTTTCTACTATTGACATAGTTTCAATGAACTTTTGTCTTTGCATTGCATGATTATAGCTGATCAGACTTTAGCTCTAGCAAGATTAATTTGCCTCAGACTTTTGCAATATTTATAAAGCTGCGTGTGAGGTAAATTAATCTTGCTAACAATCTGAGTCTGAGTATTAGCAAGATTAATATCTACCTCAGACTATTAGTTGTGGCATTGAGAGGAAAGTGATTTATTACTACGATGACAACTACAACCTATTAACATGGCTAGTTCACAAGTGCATTTAGGGAGTTCACAAGCACAAAGTTTTTCACAAGCACAAAGATTTGGACATGACTTACAGGAAAATTACGAGAATCATATGGGTTCTTAAAGCCCTATAAAGACCAAATTGTGAAAGAAATTGTAGCAGAATTAATGAATGACGCTCAAGCAAATTGATCCTAAAGTGTTGGATACTTTGACTCGATCACTTGAAAATGTGTCATCCAATCCAGAACTTACAGATCATATTCCCATTGTACACTCTAATGAACAACAGCGAAATGAGGTAATGGTTAATATATAATCTTTTAAAAAGCACTAACTCTTATTATTGCGTTATTCCATTTTTGTTCTAGTTGTTTGATATGTGATGCTTTCACACATAGGATTAATTGGATCAAGATGAAGAATTAGGATGGCAATTGATGATACTACAAGAACTTACTCTTACCGCTGTTTTGCTGTTGCTACCGCTGTTTTGCTGCTGTTTTTTACTGTTACTGCTGTTTTTTCGCTGCTATTGTTGCTGACTCTTGCTACTTCGATTTGCTGCCACTGCTCTCTGTTACTGCTGGTTGCTGCCAACTGTTGTCTGCTATTACTGGAAGTGCCACTCTTGTCTGCTACTGCTGGTTGCTGCTAAAGACTGCGGCTAGCAGCTTCTGTTACTGCTTCCGCCATTTTGCTAGCTGCGTAGCTGCTGCCATTCTACTAGCTAGCTGTGTAGCTGCTGCTATACGCTGTTGTTAATGCTATTTACTGTTATCGCTGACTTTTTTGAAATTTGGAAGTTTTTTGTTTTACCTTACTTTTTCCAAGCTAGAGATCGAATTTAATTTTCTGTGTTTGGATTATTATATTGTTTGGCCAAACATTAAAATTGGTGTTTATGGATTTTTTTTTGTAAGAATTATGAAAGTATTTCAATCCAAATTGTTTTCTATCATGTGTTGATTTCTATTCATATAGTTGTTGTATAAATAATTTTTTTTATATTTAAAAAAAATACTAAATGTTATAATAATAATAATAATAATAATAATAATAATAATAATAATAATAATAATAATAATAATAATAATAATAATAATAATAATAATAATAATAATAATAATGATAAATGTTACCTATTAATCTATAAAGTGTTACATTACTTTGAAAAAAGTGATACATAATGTTGAATAAAGTGCTACTATGTATCAAAACATGATTGAAAAATGTTACCTAATAATCAACAAAGTGTTACATTAGTTCAAAAAAGTGATACATAATGTCGGATAAAGTGATACTATATGATTGAAAAATGTTACTAAAGATAAGTAAGTGTTACATAAGAAATAAAAAGTAGGGTGTTGTTAAACGTCGTTCGCATTTTACTAGGTGACGTTCACATTTTTTACATGAATTTCCTAAATTGCCCTCCGTATATAAATACTCGATAAAGTAAGTTAGCGCTTTACGAGACATTTCCCATCTCACAAAATCACTCTTTGACACTTTCTCTCTCTAAAACCTTCCAAAAAATCTGAAATTTTGAAAAAAAAAAAAAAAAAATCAGAAATTTTTTTTTAAAAAAAAAAAACCAAAATAGTTGAAGGCTACTCAAACACAAGCAAATCTTGCAATCAAACGTTGAATCCGACAATGGCAGACCGACGGAGAATTAGGCTGACGTTTGGTGGTCGTGGTGGCGGCGTTAGCGGCGGCGAGCCGGTGAGTTTTTTTTTTTTGTTTTAAATTTTTGAATTTTGAAAAAAAAAAATTCTGGACAAGGGGACTTCCGCCCAGAAATTCCGGAAGTCCAGGGGAACTTCCGGAAATTTCAGGCGGAAGTGGGGTTTCCGCCTGAAATTTCCGGAAGTTCCCCTGGACTTCCAGAATTTCTGGGCGGAAGTCCAGTTTCCAGGTTTTTTTATTTTTTTTTATTTTTCTGTTATTCCCCCTTTTTATTTTATTTTTTTTTTCTGTTTTTCCCTTTTTTTTTTGGTTTTTTTGTTTTTCTGTTTTTCCACCTTTTTTTTTGTTTTCTGTTTTTCCTTTGTTTTTTAATTTATGTTTTTCTTATTTTTTTTTTGTCCTCGATTTTGTTGATTTGGTGCATGTTTTAATTTGAAAATATTTGTGTCCTTCATTTTTTTTTTGAAGTAATTTGTGTCCTTCATTTGTGGCATTAAAATAATTTTTTTTTCTTGATTTAGTTTTGCAATAGTTATTGATATGTAATTTTTGTTGATTTAGTTTTACAATAATTATAGTTTTACAATAATTATAGTTTTACAATAATTATAGTTTAGCATTAAAGTAAGTTTGTTGTTGCTATGTAATGTTATTGTTATGTAAATTTTGTTTGGTTTGTATTGGTTTTTGCTGCTGTTGTTGTAATGTATTATGGTTGTTTACTTAAATTGTTGTTATTGTTATTGTAATTGTTTTTTTTATTGGGTTGTCGTTGTTGCGTTTAAATTTTGGCAGTTTTGTGGTTAATTATAGTTTTGATTTGGTCTGTTATTGTGTTGAAATTATTTGTAGTGTGTTAGTGTGTTGTTATTGTTAGTAGTGTATTAGTATTGTAAGAATAATATTATTGTTATTATTTGTAATGTTGTTATTATTGTTTATTTGATTTGATTTATTATAGTTTTGATTTGATTTTTTTGACTATGAATTATTATTGAAATATGATTCTGTACTTATTTTTTTTAATGCAGATTGAGGGTTCTGGTCCTCGTCATGCAAGATCAAGACGTTTGAATGCGTCTGTTAGGAGGGAGTTAGGTGGTGCAGGACCTTCACATGCACCGTTTCAGCATGAGCAGCAGTATGGGACTGCTGGTGCTTGGTCGGGGGAGCACCAGTCACAGGGGAGCGCCCCCATGTATTCGTCTACTGGAGTGCCTTCATCAGATGAGGATGAGGATGAGGATGAAGATCGAGGAAGTCAATCTACTGGAGATGCACAGTACGACCCTCAGGATTACCGTACTGTGTATAGGGGTGACCATGGGAGATATGTTAGCAGTAGTGAACCAGGTCAAGCTTCTACCAGCTCGTCAGAGTCATGGGTAGTGCAGGAGCCGATGCCAGGTGGGCCTGAGGATGGTACCGTTATTCCGAGTTTTGGGGGTCATGTGTCTGCCTACATATGGGGTGGGCAGGAGCGAAACGTGCTGCGGTATTTGAGCAGGACACAGTTGTGTTCTGAATTGGGTAACTGGCGCGCTCGTCTTCCGCCGGAGCACCTGGAACCGATTGATGGCACTGGTCTATCTCATTTACCCGGGATCATGTTCCGGCGATTTGACTGGCCCTTAATTTCTGCTTTTGTTGAGAGATGGCAGCCAGACACGAACACGTTTCACATGCCTTTTGGGGAGATCACGATCATGCTGCATGATGTGTATCATATTCTAGGGCTTCGTGTCGACGGTTCCATGGTTTCCACTACTCCTAGCACGGATGTTTTACGGGACGCGTGCTCGGTTACCTTGGATATGACTGAGGAAGAGCTGAATGAGAAGTGCGGTACCAAAACCGTATGGCAGGGTAGTGGGGTCCTGACTGAGAGGATAGTGGAGTCGACCTTGGAGGCGCAGAGGCCCTTCAGTTTCCATTACAGGGCGTACCTGTGGTTAGTACTCGGCGGTTGTTTGTTTTTGGACAAGAGTGGAAACCGTACTCATCCTTCCTTCCTCAACGAGCTGTTTGTTGAGGATGTTCATATTAGTAAGTACTCCTGGGGTTCTGCTGTGCTAGCATACATGTACCGGCAATTGGGTACAGCATCACGAAGAGATGCTGATTCTATCGCTGGCTGCCTTACGCTTCTGCAGGCGTGGATCTACGAGTACTTTCCGTGTTTCCGGCCTCAGCAAGGGACCTTGACCAGAGAGCTTGCTATTCCTCGTGCGTCCGCCTAGGATGTTGGATCGGGGTGCCCTAACAAGAGCATGGAGCGCCTTCTCGCTTTTCGGGCTAGGTTGGATCATTTGACTGACAATGAAGTTAACTGGCTACCGTACGGAGTTGATCCAGCACGACGCGTGCCTGCTACTCTTTTCATTGGCTGCATCCAGTATCGTAGCATCATTGAGCCATACATGCCTGATCGAGTGGTTCGGCAACTTGGATACGTCCAGGGCATTCCACCAGCCATTATCAGGCCTGAGAAGGCTAAGAGACCGACGAACTTGAAGATGTATCGGGTTGACTTTCCGCCAGAGATGACATATGTGATGTGGACTCGGTTTGTCCCTGGTATGTCTTTTAGTGTCGTGGTAGGTGCCCTCAGCAGACTTGGTGGTGGTGCTCCTACAGTCGGTCCTGGTTACATGCAGTGGCTGTACCGATTTTCTCATCCACGTGTTTCTCCAGTTGCGTCATCACATGAGAGTCGCACACTGCCAGAGAGAACTAACACGGATTACGTAAGTAGTTGTATTTTTTGGTATAATTTAATAAGTTGCTATTTTAATATGTTGTTTATAATATGTTGTTTTTAAAATCCGATTTTTTTAATATGTTGTTTTTAATATGTTGTTTTTTTAAAAAAAAAACTTGTGATTTATTTAATATATTGTTTTTTTAATTGAAGTGGATGGGTCGGTCTATGGAGGTCATCAACAGGACCCTGGAGGAGTATCCGAGCCTATCGCGTGATACAAGAGCAATGGCTGAGGCGCTACGAGCTGATTGGAGGGCGATGATGGGGTTGTGAACTTCCTGTTTTTTTTTTTATTTCCCTTGTACGCATTTCGTTTATGTACTATTTATTCATCATGTACTTTAAGTATTGAACAACTGTTTTGGTGGTTTTGTAAATATTTTGTTTAATTAAGTTCAATTCGTTGCAAATTACATAACGACAACTATTTAACATAAATTAAAGTACAACAACATGTTCACTATCTAATTAAGGCATCCCACATGTTCCTTCTAGCTTCGTAACGCTGATCCCAACCATCAACACTTGGGTCGTGGTGCTCGGTCCACCAACCTGCAACCGGGGGAAGTGGCGAATCAGGTGCAACTTCAATACAAATAAAATGTGAGGCCCCAACTGTAGCGATGACAAACTCTCGCTCCGGTGCTGTGACCCCCCTTCTTGCCCGCAACGGCAATATCGTGAGGCATGGGTAGTAGCAAGTTGGTGTTTGGCCTACACCAAGAATAATAACCGCTGCGTTGAACCAAGTCGCAATAGGAAATAAATCTTGTATTGCAACCATCCAATGACGGGAATCAACCGCCCCACCGTCCCATCGAATACGCTGCACATTGATCTCAAGTCTTCTAAGCCCATAAATCCTCTCATATAGGGCTCGATAACCGAGGACCACATTCGCTATTGTCTCTCGAGCGTCATACCATCGGCCTTGATCACCGAAGAAGAACTCGGCCACACACGAAACCCACAGTTCCCATCGCCAATGACATCCTTCCATCCTGTGATGTAAGGCAACATCGGCCCTGGAAGCATGTGTCTATAACGGCTTTGGCTAATGTCGTTTACATCTCCTGCACAAATGTAGGTTTCAGTTAATAGTTTAGTGAACGCTGATTTATGTGAAAAACACAACACTCAATCGTACCTGTTTGTCGTGCGCCACGTTCAGTGTGTTGGCGGTTTACATGTTCAAAATAAGAACGATCACGTCTTGTATCATTGTTTCTTGGTCGACCACGAACCCGGTGGTTTACAGCAGGCTCTCTGAGATCGGAATGATCCGGATGCAGCTCCTCTTCAATGATGCGAGACACGTTTCGAAGAACAGCAGGATCACTATCAAACACCTCCTCCATCAGAGAACGAAAATGTGCGGCATCCTCGGTTGAGTCATTGCCAGGCACCGTCCCACCATCTCCAGAACCAATAACCAAGGTCCTCCAAAACGGGTGAATTTGCCTTATGTACAATCCTGTCCCAGCAGCTAGCGAATCATGTATCTGGCATGCACAGGGAAACCCGTGGGTCACACGCATTGCACATCCACATCGTTCGTGCACTTGATAACTCAGCTCCCTCATCCTCCTTGTCTCCTCATCGAGAACCTTCAAACAATGACGAGACACCTTCCCGTTTATACGTGACAGTGGCAACTGTCGGTACTTTTGACCTATCTTCGACCTAGAAGCATCCAAACCATTACGAATTGCGATGATTTGATTACCAATGTGGCTATGAACTCGAGCCCATACGGTATCTAAAGAACCTGCACATTACAAAGAAAAACCGTTATGATTTGTAACTCAAATTCCTAAAATAAAGTACATACATGAAGTTCAATAATCTTACACCAAACCTGTCGAGGAATCAAACCACATCTTCACGGCCGAATGTTGGCTCTCAACTCTGCAAGTGCTGGTGTTGCCATAATGTAGAACTTGGTTTGTCCAAAATGTCACGAACTTCGTTTTATGACAAAGCCATGTGTTCTCTACATATTGTATCACTGCTGGAAAACTTGCCCACTTATATTTCATGTTTTCTACAGCGGCCTCATAATCTTCCTCGGTTGCAGCGTCCATGATACGTTTCCATTTTCCGTTTTTGAAAGACGCACCGATTTTCTTGCTTTTGAACATAGCAGTGACCCGAGCCTCCACATCTTTGTTAATGTGCCATCGACAAAGTAAGTGCGAGGTTCCTGGAAACACTTCCCTCAATGCAGCACATAGCCCAAGCTCACGGTCTGTCAAGAAAACCGACGGCTCCTTATTATACCCAATCACGTCTCTCAACCTCTGCAAAACCCATCGATAGCTTGCCGTGCTCTCATTGCGCATGAACACGTAAGCGACGAGAAAATTCTGATTTGTCGGTGTCACGCTAACTATCTCAAAGAACGGCATCCCGTATCGGTTAGTCTTGTAAGTGGAATCCATACCGATCACATAGGGGTACGTCCGTAGGATGTCTACCATGACTGGATGCGCCATAAAGGCGTGCTGTAAAACGCCTTCATCATCGGACATGACCCAGTAAACATACTGACTTTGTCTCGCCAAATGTAGAAATTGCTGAACAACTCCTCTCCCATCAGACATCTCCTCTCTGAAGTCATTCCGACAGTTGTAGATGTGTCTGATGTTTGGATGATCATCAGGAAATTGCTCCGCAATAGTCGCCATGATGTTACGCGGTGCAACCTTAGACTTCGTCATGTCACGCACAACCTGCTTCGCATTCGGGCTCAACCCACTAATTTTACGATGACCCTCTGGATACGCAATCATTGGATGGTTGTGGGTCCCAGTTACATCATCTTTCGCCCGGATAAACCAAGTATTGGTGACGAACTCGTAACATATCTTGATGTAGAAAGGACAACCAATGCCCTTGGTTTTGGTGTCCTTTCGAATTACGTTCTCAAGATCTCTCGGCTTACTCCTGCGTCCCCGGTCACATCTTAAATATTGAACTGGTCGACCATCCCTCTGTTTGTTGAAAGACAATTTCACCAAAATAAATCCCAGATTTATTGCAACAGCATCCGCCCATGTAACTACATCGTCAAACGTTAGAAAAACCGTGTCTGTCACAAAATGTGCACTGTAATTCACAACGTCACCGTCGTCTTCAACCTCCGAATCCTATCAAAATAACAATACAAACAAATAAAACACGCAAGGATTACTATTTTAAATTTAACAATAATAATACAAATAATCATAATAATAATAAAAATAACAATAATAACAATAATAATATTAATAGTATTAATAGTAATAATAATAATAATAATAATAATAATAATAACAATAACAATAATAATACTAATGATAATAATAATAATAATAACAATAATAATACTAATGATAATAACAATAACAATAATAATACTAATAATAATAACAACAATAACTACGTAACATTAACAAATAATAACTAATATAATAATAATAACAACAATAGTAATAATAATAGTAGTAATAATATTAATAATAATCGTAATCATAACAGAAATTTACAAAATTAACAAAACTAATATTAATAACCATAATAATAATAATAATAGTAATAATAATAACAATAACAATTACGTAAAAAAAACAAAAAAACAAAAAAAAAGGACATCCGCTTGTTTTTTTCCGGAAATCTGGGGGAGACCCGCCCAAAATTTCCGGATGTCCCTAATTACATCCGGAAATTTCATCCGGATGTGTACATCCGCCTGAAATTTCCGGATGTTATTGGGGACATCCGGAAATTTTGGGCGGATCACCCCCATATTTCCGGAAAAATCAAGCGGATGTCCTATTTACATAAAAAAAAAATCCGAAATACTTACAGATTCTTCCGTCGAACCCTCCGGCGTGTGATCGTTGTCGTCGTCCATCGTAAAACATCACTCTGTACACTTTCCTTTTCTGGCCCGGGATTTTTAAATTCCTCGGGATTACCGTACAATGGTGGAACCGGGATTTTTTAATGCTCGGGATTTTTTTAACACAAGTGGTGGGTCGGTAATGTTTTTAATGTTGTCGGTAACTAAATTTACCCATGGTGGACCCTTAAATAGATAAAATACCCACAAGGGCAAAAATGTCATTTCAATTAAAAATGTGAACGTCACCCAGTAATTTGCGAACGACGAATAGCAGTTCAGAAAAAGTATCACTTTAAAAATAATACTAAAGATATAAAAAAGTGTTACATAAGAGGTTATATAGTAACACTTTTAAAAGTGTTACCATACGTTATCCAAAGAGTTACATAAGACCTTAGGTAACACGGGCAGATGAATCACCCACTAAAGTGCTACCTATTGTCTATAATAACATTTTTACCACTTTATGTAACACTTTTTGGGTGTTACTTGGGTTAGTTTTGTATTAGTGAAATTCGAGTCCCACCATCTACATATGCTTTGGAGTTGGTGGATTACCTTACCTCCCCCCTCTACTTTCTAGTTCAGAAGGATCCTTAAAAAAAAATTTAGAAACTAGTTTGTATATGCAAGAAAAGAAGTTAAATTTAATATACTCTAGGACGATAAGTACATAATATTTAAGGATTAGCTTTGTAGCTTGATCTAACGCCAATAAAATAGTACTCCTAAAGTTAACTAAGATTATAGGCTTGATCATGAAGATTACATTCATATTAAAGTACCCCTAGTTTTGTTCTTTTTTGAAAAAACCCCTAGTTTTGTTCTGGTTAAGGAGCTGTGTTTAATAATTATTATTTCATTTATCATAGTACAAGAGGGATGCAAATTAGTAATAATAAAAAAAAAATTTTAAAAATAAAAAATAAATAAAAAAATTAATAATAATAATAATAATAACAATAATAATAATAATAATAAATAATAGTAATAATAATATTTATATAAATAAAGTAGGCATTTTTGGAGAGCATTCGGAGCGCCACGTAAAAAATATACTTATTTCGACCAATAAGAAGAAAGATTTGTATTTTATTTTTGAATTAAAATATTATGTCGCCACCTAGATAAAAGTAACGAATTAGATGTGATAAATCTAAAATTTTAATGCCACGCAGATTATAATGCACGAATTAAATTATTTTAATGAAAAAAATATAGGAGAAGATAAATTTATTAATTCAATACTACGAGTATAAGAAATCCAAAAAAATTATACTAAGAAATATTTAAATGATAAACGCTTATAATAAAGTTTGATACCTATCATTATAAGATAAATTTTGATAGTATATATGATAAGAAATACAAATTGTAAAATTTGTGATACCTGCCATTATAAATTGGCACATCATACGACACATATTAACAAAATTTCGTATCAGTAAAAAACCCCATCAAGCGAATTTTGTGTTAGTAATTTTGTGTTAATTTTTTGTTATCAATGGACGGGTAATTTTTAGCTTAATTTTTAAAATCCTATGTTTAAATTAGTATTTCTAATTATTACTTTCATTGTATTAATATGGGATACTCAACGATTATATGTTTATGTTTTATTTACTAAATATTTTTTTACATGCAGATCTAACACATCATACGACACAAATAAAATTCCGTATCAATACAAAACCCAACTAAGCGAATTTTGTGTTAGTTTTAGGTCATCAATGTCCGGATAATTTTTAAAATCTTATGTTTAAATTTATATTTGTAATTATTAGTTACATTGTATTTATTTAGGATACTTCACGATTATTTGTTTATGTCGTCATCTAGATAAAAGTAACGAATTAGATTTGATATATCTAAAATTTTAATGCCACGTAGATTATAATCCACAAATTATATTATTTTAATGAAAAAAATATAGGAAAAGATAAATTTAATAATTAAATATTACGAGTATAAGAAATCCAAAAAAAATATACTAAAAAATATTTAAATGATAAACGCTTATAATAAAGTTTGATACCTATCATTATAAGATAAATTTTGATAGTATTTATGATAAGAAATACAAATTTTTCGTTAATTATAATTAAATTAAAATTTATGATACCTACCATTATAAATTGACACATCATACGACACAAACAAAATTTCGTATCAATAAAAAGCCCCATCAAGCGAACATTAAGCGAATTTTGTGTTAATTTTTGGTCATCAATGACCGGGTAATTTTTCGCTAAATTTTTAAAATCCAATGTTTAAATTAGTATTTCTAATTATTACTTACATTGTATTAATTTGGGATACTCAACGATTATATGTTTATGTTTTATTTACTAAATGTTTTTTTATATGCAGATCTAACACATCATATGACATAAATAAAATTTCGTATCAATACAAAACCCCATCAAGCGAATTTTGTGTTAGTAATTTTGTGTTAGTTTTAGGTCATCAATGTCTGAGTAATTTTTAAAATCTTATGTTTAAATTTATATTTGTAATTATTAGTTACATTGTATTTATTTAGGATACTTAACAATTATTTGTTTATGTAATGGCTACGATTAGATGTTGTATACTTAATATATGGATGGCTTTGGTTATTTTTGGAGATGATGAAAAAATTCCAATGCATAGATTTGATTTTATATCACAACAATTTTTCATTTATTGGTAAATATATTGATTTATTTTATATAAATTTAAAGATTTAATTTATATCAATTTCAGTTTGGCTAACATTTCATTGTTCAATTTATCCATTGATGTAGTAGGTTGGTTGTGGACGAAGTTGGTGATTCTATCGAAATAAAAGATATGGTAAAACAATGAATAATTATTTAGGATTTAAATTATTAAAAATTTATCATTTCATTAAACATTTTTTATAACGGAAAAAATATCATATTTACAATTTGTTTATATTTAATAAATTCATTATAAATTATAGTAAAAAAAAATAAATATTAAATATTTGTAATTTTATTTGAAATTATTAAATACAATAAATCAAATAATTAAAAATCTTAGATGGAAAAATCGTGCATCGCACAGGCTTCCATCTAGAATAATTACAGAACCAGATTCTGTCTTCTAATCCTATGAGGAAACATAGTATGCTACCACTTGTCTTTGTTGCTGAGTCGGTTTCTTTTGCGTGAAGAATAAAGCCAAAAAAAATTAAGAAATAGAAGGAAAAAAAAAAGGGAAAGTACCTTGGAAAGGTACTAATGAATGACAAGTAACTACGAAAGCAAGATGGTAATGCAAGATACAGGGTGTAACTTAGATTAGACGACTCATCAAATGTTATTAACCCGTGATTAGATGTCCATATCAACTTGTTTCTACAATATACACATTTGTACACCCTACAATCCTACATACATTATTTTTGTTTTCTTCTATTAGGGATTTAATATATTTTAATTTGTATACTATATAAGTATATAAGCCACTATGATATAAATTAAACGTTGATGAAAATATTAAAACTGCCTTATATAGGGCTATATTAGAGGTCTAGAGTTTGACACACATGATTAACCTGTGACACCTTACACTTTCTTCTCGGTTGTAAAATTATTTCAATTAATATCATTGACGAAGCTCCATCCTTCGTTAATGATACTGTTGTCCTTGGCAAGAGAAACAGGTTGGCGAAGTATATTGGAGAAAGTGAGAAACATAAAACTCAGAGAAAGTACACACCAATCCTCCACTTTTAAGAGCAATATAAAGTGATGACTATTTTAAACATCAGATTTAAATCATAGTTCCAAGCTATATCAAAATTGTAAAACCTAATCATACCATATCTAAGCCTCACCAGGTCAATTACATGAAACCAGTTAAATATCATCTACTTTCTGTTGTTCTTTTGACTCTTCACAAATATTAATATATAGAAAATTTTGCAAGGTTAAAAATACAATGAGATATAAAAGAGCTACATAACCTAGTCTACTTTGACGCATTGTCTCCAACGGCTATGGAAATATAACACAAAAGATGCCACCACGCCAATCACATAGCCAAGGAGCGCTCCATACGTCACACATATGGGCCATTCCTACAATTCAATTGAATATGAAACAAATAAATAGAAGATCAAAGTGTCTAATGACTTTCTCCAGCATCCATGAAATACCAAAATAGCAGCAAAATTTAAAGTTCCCAACCACATACAGTAGTGGGAATCACTTCTGCAGTCATTGTTTTTCTCTCCAGAAAAAAGGGTAAATCATGTCCTATTAAATAATGTGGTTTAAAATATTTAATAAGTACAATAAAGATGATTAACAACTAACAGGACAAGTAGTAACTGAATTGGTCCAAAAAAAACCCAAATTAAAGAGAGATCAAAAAGAGTGCCATGCATTCTATAAAATTAATACGAGTACAAAGTATCAATAAGTTTCATTCAGCATAATTTGCTTTAAACCTAAAACCCAAATATAGCAGAAAGTTCTTTGCAGTAGAGCTTTCTGTTCTTGTCTACAAAAGCACTACTCACCCTGAACATGCAAAATGTAGTGAATGGCAAACCAAACCTCCTCCATCCATCGAAACCAACTTGAACTGCTACCCCATTGCAAAGGATTTTATGCAAGAAAAAGTAGACAAATATTTGGGTGGATGAATGTGAGACCCAACTCATGAGAAAAGTAGATTGACATTTTTTTTTAAGAATATATGGCAAGTAAATGGGGATACCACAAAAAGGAAATGGAGCAAGCAAAATGAGACGGAGCTGGTTATATTAACCATATATAATATCACTACAAAATGAGACGGAGCAAGCAAACTTTCAACATTCACAGATATCACAATAATCCAGAAGACAGATCAACTCGGACTCTCATAGTCTCATTAGTGTAGTAGATTTCCTATATCTGCTCCAATCAAAGGTTTTACCTTTATGGGAATTTCCATCACATAAGAATTCTATGACATGCTCCTCTTCTTCAAGATTAAGTCTTTTTAAGTACCAGAGAGCACTCTTTTCTTTCTAACTCCTTAGTCAACATGCCTCTTTTCCAAAGCATTTTCCTCCAAAACGTCAATGTCAAAAGCATACGGAGTATCATTAAGCAGTGATCGTGTAAGTTCTCACATCACTAGATGCCTTTTAATCCCATAACCATAAGCTGTCCTTTTAAAATTAAGCTGCCTCGTATATCTAAAGCCTAAATCAATAAAAGCAATAGGCTATTATGATTGATATAATAGACCTATTAATAATGAGAGGATAGTCAAGCACAAATCTAACATTATTCAGGTTCTTAATATAATAAATCCACAGGGCCACAACCTCAATGGAATAAACTTCCTGAGGACCGTCATACAGTGAAAATCCGTGTGATTCTTGTATAATAAAAATATGTTGTTGCTAAACTATATGGTGCATTGTTATCATCATGACTTTATACTATATGTGAGCATGTAGGCTGGTTAGTGAGTTCTAACGCCATCGTAACCAACAAAACAGGCCAAGTTTAGCAAACTGTGACTAAGGAATAATTTATAGTTGGAGAAACAAGCTTGAGTCAATTTTGATAACCTTCAATCAAAAAACATGGAAAATATAGAAAAGTATCACAGAAATACTCCCCTTGTCCTTTTTTTTTTTTTTTTTTCTTTCTGATGTACCAGATCGACTTATAGCACTATTCACATCCTCCACTTTACCATTTTTGGTTATTTTTAAATAAGAAAAACCATAGCCATGTGGGGGATCTTATTAGATACATCTCAATATGCTTTATTAAAATTTCAACTTTTTTTATTTTTTACTTAAAAAAAATTAAAGCTATTATTGGTCAAAGTTATGTGTTGGCAAACATGCCAAGTCAATATAGTACAATTCAAAAAGCAGATTATGTACATAATTACCTGCCATGGCCTTTCCCAATCAAGTGGCATTGGCCAGGCCCCAAACCAGGAGCCAAAGATAGCACCATGTGCTGGAAGGCAAACCATATACTCAACAAATCCTGTTGGCCTGAAAGTGCAAAATAATAAGAAAAGTTATGTGCAATACTTGGAAGATTGCAAAAAGTAGCAACTATTAAGTTGCAAAATTTAGAAGCTGTGACAGAATTTGTATTATAATGATCAAGATCCTGCAGAAAACATAAGTATAGCTTGGGTGAAAGAAGACCAAAAGATTATATTAGAAGGCGAAAAGGGTATAGTTCTTAGGGACTTGGTATCAGACAGGTTCAACTTCCTAAGGACTGGATTAGTTCTTAGGGACTTGGTATCAGACAGGTTCAACTTCCTAAGGACTGGATTACAGAGAGAGAGATTAGAAGAGAAAAGGTGATCACAGTGAAGGAAGGACAAGAATTGTAGAGAGGGAGAATTATATTTGATAGACTAACTGGAAATACAGGCACTAAGGATTCTACAGGATGGCTCTCTCATAAGAGTAAATATTTCTGGTTATTCCTTCTTTTTCTTCTTCCCTATCTATCATTTACTCTAGTTCTGTTCTCTCACTCTTGTGACTAACTTTTTTAACAAAAATTCCCTTCTTGCTCTCTGCTTCGGTAAAGAAAAAACATTATAATTGAATTGATCATTTTCTAATGTGGTGTTAATTGAAAGAACCGTTCTTCTTTAGTCATGCATAAGAAAAGCAGTGGGCTGGGGTGGTGCATTGCCCTTTCCAACATAAAAGCCAAAAAATTTACAGTTCTTTCCAGATGATAGGATCTGCTAGCCTTTCCCTTGTACTGCTACACGCCTATGCCCACCCCCAAACTACAGCACTGGGTCAAAAGTTGACAAAATGAGGATAAGAGATGTCTCTCTCCTTGTTTCTTTTTGGATAAGTTAAAAGTCCACGCACTCCGCAACTATCCCAGATGACACAGTAGGACCTGATGACTAATGAGGCCTTACAAAACATGTATATAAAAATTTTCACACAGCCAATTCATAACGGAGCAGATAATCTGAGTAACAAGAGACGGGCGGCATATAAATGGAAAGAAGCAACAATAGTACCATGGAAAAATAGAAAGAGAAGAATATCTGAACACTTGCCTAGTTTTAACAAATATACGTTGCCAGTCTACCCATGATGCACCGAAGATAGCAGCAGCCGGTAAGAACTGCCAGAGTATATCAATTTAGTACTATTACCAACTTCAAGAACTATAAAACATAGGCAAAGTATAAGTGATTTGATTTAATACACATACTATTGCTTTCCTGTCTTGGAACAATTCACTTCTAGGTTCATTACCCAGGGTATTTTAGGGATGCAATAATATTTCTTAAGATTAAAATTAATAGTAATAAATAAAATAAAATATAATATAAAAACAGTACATACAACGAGTAGATATTACAGGAAGGCATTGCTACCCGTTTAAGCACAATCATGTTAGTTTGATAGTTCCTCATTAGCGCGCACGCACACACATACACACGCACCCGCACCCGCACCCGCACGCACACGCGCGCACACACACACACACACATGAAAGTTCCAAAAGAAGGCTACCCAAGTTCAGTTCAAAACAACTCTGCACAATCAGTTCGTATATGTTCAGATAAGTCAAAGAAGGTGAAGTAAATACACTCTCAATCATGGACAATGGTAGTCCTTGACTCCTTGGAGTTCTCATATTACAAGGAACCTTTAAGATACATAAGTAGTGAGTTCCAACTTTTTTTTCTATTTTCTTTCTTGATTATCACTTCATTTCACCAGCTAACTCATAAGGAGTATTTTCTTGTATAACTTGCTACATACCAAACATAAGGAAAATTCATTCTTCTTTATATGTTAAAATTGTAGCAGAAAGAAAATGAAAGCAAAGGCGAGAGCACATAAACCACAAGAAATAGGAATGTACAAAACAAAAATGAACAAGTGCGTCTATTAAAGTGAGTGTAACAGCGCATGTGAAAGAGAAAGAGATAGACAGCATTCACTTACGGTAAGTGCTGACATCAGCAGAGACCATTTAATTGTGCTCAGCATATACCTGGCCCACAAAAAAAAAAGATACAGCATTATTCATTGATCCTCATACATTCCAACATATCCACTTCATATTGTATGAGAAATGAAAAGAATCACAATAACTTTGCTCATTTGCAGTGAATGCATTTGCTCGTTTTCATACAGCAGTCATGACTAATACTGACCCCCAAAATGCCAAATCTTAAAATTCATGGGTACTTCGAAAATATAAAAATAGTGGAAATGTACCAAAAAAAAAAAGTTGTGTGGTGGGATGTAGGTGGCAGTGCTCTAGTACTAACATTTTCCACCTCACAACACACTTTAGTTTGAATTATGACATACTTGGATCATTATTAAAATTGTACTGAAAAGATTTAAGCCTGAAAACTGAGCGCCGATGACCTTTAAAAACCAGTATAAGGTATCTTGCTTTCACTGTGGAAGTCAAGGTCAACACTAGTGTGGGGTCAAATTCTGCAATCATTCACTGCACAATTCTATAGACAACATTATGAAACCCTTGTAACACATACTTTGAGCCAACTGGAGCACCCAAGCTAATAGCTTCAAGAGCAAACACCAAGGCCCCTGCAGCAAACAAGATATAGGCATTACTGACTTAAACAAGAGATGGGCAGTATGGTTAAAGAAACAAGTCGCAGATGACATCAACACGGTAAAAAGAGCATAGAAACCAGAGCACTATCAATAAAGGATAAGAAAACATGTGATATGGAGATGGAGGTTCCAAAATTATCCTAAATGCAGAACAAATGAGGCTTCCTCTGGACTAAAGTGGCAAGACAAAGCCAATGCTGCTTACATAATGTTTCCGAACTAAATCTCACAAACAGCAAAACCAATTTTGAATCTCACACCTCACCAAGGCCACATACTCCCCAAGCACATTGATGAGTAACACTGGTGAATCATATTCATATATGTACTTCAGGAGTTTAGGTACATTTATGTTGCATTTCTAGCTTAATTAGAGCATTTAGGTGCATATTTGTATGGTTTACTCAAGTTATGCTCTACTACTCCTCGTTTGCGTGTGTTTGGCGTTTCAATGATTTTCAGGTGAAATCGATGCAAATATAATATGTTTGGCAACACTTGAGTATAATAATCATGGAGAATGAAAATAGCTTGCACGAGGATAACAACACATCTCTTTGGGATGAATTTGAGTTAAAATGAAGCAAAGCGCTTGTGAAAGAAGTGCCAAAACTGACTCTTGTTCACTATTTTGCTCAAAACTTTTGATCTACAAATAACAATTAAGTGATTCCAATTGGGTTGGAAAGTAGACTTGAAGAGCTTTCCTACGTTCAGTAACACACCGATTTTCAACGAGAAACAAGAAAGTTATGATGTTTTAAATATGAGCAGTTTTGATGATCCGTCACTCGCCCGATCAGGCGAGCTCGCCAAGTCCAATTGGGTGAAGGCTCTTTGCTCCAGTTTTTCTCCATATTTCAATTTTGTATTCACACCGGATCAGGCAGGTTCGCTCAAGCGGCCGCCCGATGGTTTAGTGGACACGGTTTCACACTTTCACATGATTTCTACTATTTTAAGTTATAAGTTTTAAGGCTTATAAATACTGTCTGAGGAGACACAATAAAGACCATCTTTTGACACTTATTTTCTTCCACTAATTTACTTCGTCTCAGGGTTTGGATAAGGGAAATTTTCCATGGATTGTTCTCGAGTTCTTCAACTTAGTTTTGTGAGATATTTCAATTTCTCTTTTCTTATTAATTGTTTTGTTTCATGTTTAACCTATATTTATCTTGTTATTCTTGCTTTGTATCTTAGATCTAGTATTTATAAGTTTCAATATGTTGAGAATGTGAGTAGATTATTACTAGGGTTAAAGGGTGCATCATAAACATCCTACCAAGAAAGTTAACAATGAGAATGAATGGGATCCCCTTATCCAAACCCTGAGACGAAGTAAATTACTCCTTAGGAGAGGCATTCACTAAAGCTGAGAAATACACGTGAGACAAGCACCCTTGAATCCGACACACCCTTTCATATGGCATTTTAAGATTAGTGTGCAGCCACAGATTAATTTGGCATCCATCATTATTAGGTCAGAGGTGAATTTCATTAGATTAAAATGGACAAGATGCCACCTTCCAAATAATATTCCCTATTCGTTCATGCCTCTGCATCCCAGTTTCTCGAAAACCAATTCTCACCGAAACCTATGAATGATAAGCATTACAAGCATGCCTAAAGAACCAAAGCAGCTAATAAAGCATAAAACAGTCTAATCAATAAAACACATTCTCAAACTATATTACGACGACAGATTAACCTAGCAAAAGTAACTGGAAGAAATAGAAATTGGAGAAACTGGGAAATCTCTCACCAGCAAGAAGGCCCAGTAGGCCTCGTCCTACAGCCTTCGAGAACTGACAAAAACGGTCAAATTTCATAGTTCCGTCCTAACATTAAAGGGTTCTGCAACAAATTAACAACCAAATTTAATTCAACTATTCCAATTTCATAGCTCCATCCTAACATCAAAGAGTTCTGCAACAAAATAGCAGCCAAATTCGATTCAAATATCAAATTAGGCTCATAATCCTAGCCAATTTCATAGTTTCATCCTAACATTATAGGCAAATTTGATTCAAATATCAAACTAAGCTAATGATGTTTATCTCTAGCAACAAGTTCGCTGGTTAGTAATTATATAAGCAATAGTCCCATAATCGAGAACCTTAAAATGAGTATACTGAGAATAAAATTAACGATAAACCCTAAAATGTGAAATTGATATTCGATGAGTAGAAATAGAAACATCTTACCTGAGAAGCTGCTTCAATGGAGGATAGAAATATCAATGGAGATCGTGGAGTGAACTTCAATATATTTCTGTATAATTTTTGTTAATAGTTGAATGTCCAAGATTGAAGATTTGTGCAATGAGAAAAATTTAATTTTTTACAATATTAAAGTAGAATGGGAAAGTACAAATTCTTAAATAGACCAGCTCACTATATTAAAATAAACGTTAATTTCAGTGAAAATTCATCAAATGCCATTGTGTTTTTCAAAATTCACCAGATGCCACTGAGGTTTAGTACAGTATCACCAAATGTCATTTCTGTAAATTGACCGTTAATGTCCGTTAGTTGACCGTTAGTGTCCGTTAGTTGACCTACCACTTGCCAAGTGTAACCTTCTGATTGGTCCGTATTAAAAAAAATTATTTTTAAAATTAAAAAATAAACCAAAAATATTTAAAAAAATAAAAAAAAACCACAAAATTAAAACCAGCCACCCTGCTCCCCTCCGTGACCACCTCTCGCCGGCGCCGTACTACCCCTGAAAACGCGCGCCAGATCCAGCGACACCCACCTCAACCTCGAACCACCCTCCCCTTCCCCTAAACCACCTTAACCCCTCCCTAAAACCCCCTGAAATTGGCAACCCAAAACCCCCGAAATCACCCTTCCTCTCCCTTTCCGATTTCTAGCCACTCCACCCAAAGACCGATTTCCAATTTCAAATTGACACCAACCAATTTCTATCCGCCGCACCGTTACCAAAATCCCCCGGCGACTTCAGAGGAGTGACAGAAGCAGAAGAAGCGGCGAATCGGGATGAGAAATCTGGGTTTGGGGTCGGTTAAGTTTTGGGAAATGGTAAAAGAAACAACTTACCTCAGAAGCTGCTTAATGGGGGATACAAGGTGGTCGGAGTGAGGCGACGGCTGCCGGAGATTGTGGAGGAAGGGGGGCTCGAAATCGTGGAGGGGGAAGCGCTACAATGGAGAACTGAGAGAGAGAGACGCGAGCAGGAAAATGTAAAGGTCGACGGAATGAGAAGGTGGTCGGAGTGAGGTGACGGCTGCCGGAGATTGTGGAGGAAGGGGGCTGGAAATCGTGGAGGGGGAAGAAAGGAGGCTGACCGGAGGGGGAGATTGTGGAGGAAGGACGGCTGTTCCTCATTCTATCTCCTCCGCTTCTTTTTTTTTATTTTTTTATTTTTTTTTGGTTTTTTTAATTCTTTATTTTTTTAAAAAAATAATTTTTTTTAAAATATTTTTTTTAAAAAACGAACCAATTAGAAGGTGACACGAGGCAAGTGGTTGGGTCAACTAATGGACACTGACGGTCAACAAAAGGAAATGACATTTGGTGATATTGTACTAAACCTCAATGGCATTTGTTGAATTTTTTAATCACTTAGTGGCATTTCATGAAATTGCCGTAAAATAAAGGTTATTATGTTGAAATAAAAGCAAGTGTGACGTTATAAAAGCTTCTTTATAAGAGGTTAATTTTTGGAATGTAAATAAAAATAACATTAAAGGTCACACAAGTTTTAATAAAGGTTACTACGTTAAAAAATAAGGATGTTATGTTAAAATTACGGTCACTATGTTTCAAATAACGTTAATTCTACGTGTATATAAATCTCAGGTCCACAATAATATTATTATGGACCAGGTCCACGCAAGAATTTCTGATGGGGAAGATTATTTGTGCATGTTCTTACATTTGCGCTTACATTTGCGTTTTTTGGTCTTTCCATGATAGGTGTTTCGGGGTTTTTTGATGTGTCCTGCGGGAGAGTTACAATTCCAAGAATGCCCTTCGACGCTTGTGCCTGCAAAATCACGAAGACTCCTGGGGGTAGGAGCTCCGCCTCAGACGATCAAGTTAGTAAAGATACGGGAGGTAGAATGCACGTAATGTGGAAGCTACTTCTCGCGTAATGGGAGAATTCTGCAATTAATATTGCTCGGGGTAAGTGTTTCTCTTTTTGAAGAGTATTCAATGTGAACAACAAATGTTCCCGCCTCCCATTAATGAGGGTCCTTCCACTATTTATAGTGGGGAAGGGATGGTTTCCCTTTTAGGGTTTAGAGGACACGTGTCAGCAGAGGATTGGAGCACTGCTGACCAACGGCTGGATGCCACGTGTCACTAGGCCATTGGGCCACGTGTTTTAGGATATTTTTACCCCAAACATTTGCCCCTCACTGGTGCTGACGTGGCAGGGTGCCACGTGGCGCCGGTGAAAGGTTTTTTTTTTTTTTTTTTTTTTTAGGATAGAAAAGCAGAAGGCGAAGAGTCACGACTTTTCACCTTTGGGGACAAATTCTATAAATAGGAGAAGATGTTCCCCGAGCTCTCATTTACAAACTTTGCCAAATTTCTGAAGATTTGAGAGCAGCCGGCAATTTGAGAGTTGAGAGCATTCGGAGTTGAGATTCGTTGAGAGCAACCGGTCTGCAGACCGTCTGGGTCGTTGCAAGCTAGCCAAAGGTTTTCGAGAGGGTAACCAGAGAAACCCAGCCGGATTTTGAACCGCCTGCGTCTTCGCAAGCATCCTAGAGAATTTCCAGATTTTCTTCTAGGTACCGTCTCTATTCTTTCTAGCTTTTTCATGTATTTCCGTTTGAGTCTTTTACTCGCATTTTTGTTCATTGGTCCCATAAGTAGATGGACCCCTTATACCCATACCCGGAACCTAGCTGTGAACTCAGCCGGTTTATTAGTACGGCTGAGTCTAGAACTGGGTCTGCCGCCTCTGTTCTTTGGGACAACCCTTTTTCAACACCCATATCGACCGACTCTGTGTCTGTGCAGGACACAATGGCCAGAATCCGGTCTACTGCCAGAGATCCCAACTACAGAAGTGGGAGCTCAGATGAGCAGCCGCCTGAGGTCCCAGCTTCAGGCGGTGAAGTAGAGCATGGAGAGGTAGAGCAGAGAGGCTCACCCGGGGGTGCTCCTAGCACCCCGGGTGATAGCATTTTAAACGAAGAGAGTGCTCCCCTCCAGGAGACCAGAGAGCAGGTAGGCTCTGATGAGGAGGTCTCCAACACCCCAGCCGGCTCTGATGCCGGTCACGTTCAAAGTAGCAGTAGCAGCTACTTAACCGAATCTGAGGATAGCGAGGAGGCGGAGAGGCCTTCTTGGGACAATAGGAACGATCCTCTCATGATCGCCGTCTCCTCTAAGGACCGCGAGCTCATGCGGGCTGCGCTGCCAGATTTTATCAAACGGCGGTCGCTGGGGGGTGACTATTCAATAAAAATCCCGGCTGCTCTGGGAACAATATGGTGGGAGGATGGACAACCGAACGCGAACGCTTGGTTCGGGTGCTACGAGGCGACCTTCGTGGCCGGAGTCCGCTTCCCTCTCCACGACACAATAAAAGCCATACTTAGGGGGTATGGCCTAGGTCTCTGGCAATTAACCCCCAACTCATGGGTAAATATTTTAGGGTATATCGCCGCCTGCGAGATGCAGGGCCTCAACCCCGGCTGGGAGGCGTTTGCCCACATGCATTACTTGAGTAGGAGCCCAGGCGGCTGGAGAGCCTGGTATACCTTGACCACCCAGCCCAAATACCTTATGACCTTGGACAAGCCATCCAAATGGTCGGACTGGAAGCACCGGTTCTACTTGGTTAAGGCCCCAACTACGGCAGAGAACAGAGAATTCCGGATCTACAACCGGAAACCAGAACTCTTGGGGACCAAGTGCTGCCTGCCCCCTGTCCCGGAGGATGATAGAGAGACCATCCTTGACTCCGGGTTTTTTGAGTTAGTTCCTGACACCCTCTCATCCGGAGAGATAGTAAGGGTACCTAGAAACTGGGTGCCCAAACATGAATTTTTTAGGGACGAATGCTTCTTGTCCGCTTGTGGTCTAAGCAGCATGTTTAAAAAACGTATGTATTCGGAACTCAGCCGGTTTCTTTCGAACCGGATGCTTTTATTTCCTTGCTTAGTTATTATTCTAACCGTGTGCCTTCCTCTGCAGAAGAAGCCAAGAAAATGCTGCCCACCGAGAAGACACCGGCTAGGTCGGCTGCCGACATCCGGAAAGCCAATCTCGAGAAAAAACTTGCTGCCCAGGCGGCGAAGAAGGTATAACCGTCTGATCCTTCTCGTTTATTTCAATCCTTTTAACCCATAACTTATATTTTTCTCGTTTACAGGACGGGAAGCAGATGCCCCGGTCCCTTCAAAAACAGGTCAGGCCTCCGCCGACCCAACAAGAGTCTGCATCCAAGGTGCAGAAGACAGCCGACCGGCAAACTACCGGCGGCAAATCAATAAAGGTCCCAAGCGGGCCTGGATCTGCGGATGTGCTTTCTGCCATCCCATTGAGGACCGCAACCGGTCCCTCTGAAGGCCGTTCGGGCCGCCAAGGTAACTTCGACCTTACACTGCTTGATCTGCCCATGCGGGTCAAGTCTTACTCACAGTCTCGATCGCAGCCGGGGGATTCTCCAATCAGCCGACAATCTATAGGCAGAGCATATGCGAGTTTCTCACCGTCTGTTTCTGGTGCAGATAATTCTCCCCGCTGGCCGGACGGGGCACAATATGCCCGGGCCATGCTGAAAGCCGTCCCCAGGGACGAGAAGGAGGCGATCCCTGGGATCAACTCTTTTAATGCCGACCGGGTGCTGGTCGACCTGGCCGACGTATGCTCCAACAACCATGCGGTAATTTTCTTGACGTGCATTTTTAAATATGCAGTATTAACCGGCTGTATTTTTGCAGGCTATGCTGCGCGTAGAGGGGCTCAAACGAGCTTATACCCGCAAGTCTGAGGAGGTAAGGAGAAGCAAACGGGCTGTTGATGACGCCCATAATGTTGCTGACTACTCTTTGTACATGCATGGCTTAGAATCTAAATCTATACGCATGGAACAAGCGGAGAAGACCAAGGCCCTCCAACAGCAGATTGATCAGCTGAAAAACCAAGTTGATCAACTGCAGGCGTCCCTGGATGATGCCAATAAAAAGTTGGAGGAACAGACAGAGCCCCTCCAACGGCTGAGCAAGGCGGAGACTGAAAATGGCCGCCTTGCCAAAGAGAATGAGCGCCTGCGCAAAGAGGCGGCTGCTGCCAATGAGAACTTCAAGGCCACCTTGGAGTCGGAGCAGGAGAGGCTCATTGAAGAGAATGAGCATGACTGTGCAAACCGGATGCAACAGGCGTTTTCCCTCATCCACCCGGAGGCGGACTTCACCGTCTGGGAACTCGCCTTCAAATATTCTGATCTTGCCATTTTGGCCGAGGAGGCGAATGAGCCGGGGCCCGGACCTTATGACGCTTGGGTTAAGGAGGAGATTGCGCGACGGCAGGCGGAGGCTGCTGAAGAGGAGGAAGTCGTTCCTGAAGCCGACGCAACCGTTCACCCTGATCCAACCCAGAACCAACCGGAATAGGACCGGTTCACTGTTCGCCTGGAGTAGCAACTACTTCCCGGCCTGCGCGCCTTGTATTATCTTGTAATAGCACCGGATGAGATGGGCTAAGCTGTAATAATTTTTTTTTGAATATTAACATTTTCACCGGCTGAGCCGGCTTTTGAATGCTTTTTATGTTTCTGCACTTCAATACTAGAATTCTTGTTATATTTTTTTTGTACATATTTCTGCGAGGATAACCAAAAGAACCCCGCCGGTAACACTACCGCTTGGGTCTTCGCCAACTAGGCGAAGAAATTTACTAGGGTTGCCAAGAAGACCCCACCGGGAACACTGCCGTCTGGGTCTTCGCAAACTAGGCGAAGAAATTTGCAAACTAGGCCAAGAAGACCCCACCGGTAACACTGCCGTCTGGGTCTTCGCAAACAAGGCGAAGAAATTTGCAAGGGTTGCCAAGAAGACCCCACCGGTAACACTGCCGTCTGGGTCTTCGCAAACTAGGCGAAGAAATTTGCAAACTAGGCCAAGAAGACCCCACCGGTAACACTGCCGTCTGGGTCTTCGCAAACAAGGCGAAGAAATTTGCAAGGGTTGCCAAGAAGACCCCACCGGTAACACTGCCGTCTGGGTCTTCGCAAACTAGGCGAAGAAATTTGCAAACTAGGCCAAGAAGACCCTACCGGTAACACTACCGTCTGGGTCTTCGCAAACTGGGCGAAGAAATTTGCAAGGGTTGCCAAGAAGACCCCACCGGTAACACTGCCGTCTGGGTCTTCGCAAACTAGGCGAAGAAATTTCGACCCAAAACCAAACCAGATGGCGTCTGGGTTATTGCCCCTGGATAGCGGTCTGGGTCTTTGCAAGCCAGGCGACTATCCATATGATATAGCTCGAATATACACTAAGTGCCAACATTAGATTCGGGAGCCAGTCGGTTTATACTGAATTACCGGTCGGGACTT